TTGATAATGGAAAATATATTGTGAAAGTTGGATTATTAAATAATTTAAACTATCTTTTAGACTTTTTGAAGCAACAACAACAAAACCTAAATGTTAAAAATGATTCAATTGATAAATATCCTGGTTTATCTTATGAATTTATCAACAAGCATCCATTATTGAAAACTTTAATTGATTGGTATCTGTTAATTGATGAAGATGATAGAATATGTGATGATAAACATCGATTATTAAAAGAATTTATTAATGCAATTATCTATAATTTAACTAAATCAAGTAATCATTTTCGATACAGTGATAGTATTAAAGATTTTCCATTGTCTTTATATATTTTGGGAGGCAAGCTTACATATGAATTTGTGAGGTTAAATTTACCGGGTTCTTCACCAAATTTAATAATGTTACATTCATTAATTTCAAATTCAAATTTGAAGATTTCTGAAGTGGAATTTCGATTTGATGAACTTCAAAACAAATTCAAAAATCTTAATATTCAATATGCATTTGGTTCCGAAGACATGACACGTGTTATTAAAAAAATAAAATATGATTCAATAGCAAACACTTTCGTTGGGTTTCCTACGCCACTTGCCCATAGAATACCAATTAAAGAATACTACAAAACTGATTCATTTGATATACTTAAATTATGGTTTAGTTCGATCGAAAAATCGTCATTATTGAATGTACATATGATACAGCCATTGCAATCTTCAAGTCAGAACGTAATTCCAAGTCCATTTTTATTAGCAGCATACGGGACTAACACTACAACTACAGCTGATGATATACTTCAAAGGTGGTGGTATATATTCAATCAATTTTCACAAAGAAAAATAAGAATAATTGGTTTTTCCACTGGTAAGAAAAAAAAATACATATTATTAGTCCAGATACTAATGATCAATGATTCTTTCTTTTTTATAGATGCAGATGCAAAATATTTACGCGCAATGCGTTTGATTAGTGGATTCTTTGATTCTAGTCCTAATCTTCAACTTCATCAACATCCACTAGCTTTTAAAATACAAACAACATCACAATGGCCTTGATTTTTTTAACGAAAACAACAACTGTTGCTGTTTCTTCAAGACGCAACACATTTGGTGACTAAATGGCGTAATCGTTTATTATCATCAACAGCTGAATTGTGTATTGGTAATAAAGCTATATTAGTCAACCATCTATATGATATTATTGACAATCCAGCATTTACTAAATTCGATCTTTGTATCGCAAAAACCAACATTAATCCAAAAGATCGTCAAAACTTCAACTCCTGTTTGAAAATAACAAACAATGATCTTCTTCGAATTTTAAGTGAGAATGTAAATACCCAAGGAACATTTATCTATCTTCAAATGTTAAAAATGATTATAGTAGCTTATGTTGAAAAAGCAACAATAATTACTGAGCGTAAGTTTTCCAATTCATCTTATTTATTTGTAAATACAAGAAATGTTTTCATTTAAAAAGTGCTCTTATTATGTGAAATTATAATTTTAGGACTAAGCATATATGTCAGTAGAACTCAATGCTCACAATCTACTATTCTTAGTTTTACTTGTGAAACAAAAGCAATTACCGCTAGAAGCATTAAATATTTATACTTTTAATTCACAAGCTTGTGAGTCAATCTTCAGAAATACCCGTGCATTAAGTGGAATTTACTCAACTGTTGTTAAATTTACTGTACATGACTTTGTACAAAGAGCGCAGAAATTATCGTTGCTTAATGATATTAAGTATAAACAGTTCCATGATCAATCAGCTAACAAATTAATTTTTCCCGTTCATTATAAACATCGTCATGATCGACAACCATTATCTAAATCAATTCAAGATGAAATCGATCAAATAGATATTGAACAACTAATTGCTGATGCATATGATGATGCTGTTACAATATATAATGACTTAGAAGTATTGGACATATTAGAACAAAAGCATGTACTTGGTTTAAATTCATTAAGTGCTTATATATTTGAATATTTAAATACGAATTCTCAGATGTACAATTTCTCATCTCAAGTAGATATCATCGATAGTGAAGAATATTGAATTAGCTGCCGATGATGATGAAGAGATCAACAGTGACAATTCTACTTATGAAGATTCTTCTTCGGATGATGATCATACTGATGATGAAGAGCAAGAAATTACAACTGAATTCATTAATATCACGAAAAGAGACTTTTTTGGAACAAAAGTCTATGATACAGTAAAGATTGGCGTACAAAACACTTATTTTAAAGTTTTAATTAACAATCAAACAAAGTATTTACATAAACAGTCTGCTTGTTGGTTATTAACAGAAGAAACAAATAAACTTTCAAATGATAGACTTCTCAGAGTAATGTAGAATAGAAGAGAAGAATGAAGGTTTTTTTTGTTACATGATATTTTTTTTTCTTTGTCAACGAATTATATTTTGTTAAATAAAAAGATGTAAAAACTGTTTTTTTCGCACATTAATTAGAAGCAAATAGTACATTTGTCGAAGAAAAGCAATATAGATAGCTGTAGTCTTGCGTCATAATTATCTCTATCCTGTCTGATATTATGATTAAGAAAAAACATTAAGATGCAACTAATATTAATTTAAGAAAGGAATTTTTTGCAGAGAAACCAAAAGTTTCTACGGACTAAAAGGAATTACTAAGGATTCCGAGGGATTCCAAGAGATTCCAGGGATTCCAAACCGTTGGAATTTGCCGTTTCCCCCTTGAATTCACTACTCAAAATTTAAAACTCATTTTATATTCATAGCACAACAGTCTACTCTTCCTACGTGATCATGTATCACTATGTGCTCATGAAATGAACCTCAACAATTTTATATGGATCGATGCACTGGATAAGCCTCTTTCAAACGACACCAACCCGAACTCTACAGGTAGTTCTGGAGCAAAGTTATTGTAAAAATACCCACCAGTCTTTTTTTTTCTGAATGGGCATTAGTGCTTAGTGTATACATTTTCTTACACTTTCGTGTTCGTTTTACAGCATGACAAAAGCGTTTGTTTCCAATTTTGAAATAAAGATTTAATGTTTGAAGTGGCGCGTTATGTGGACAAGTCAAGTATTAGTATTCTCATTCGAAAGGGTGATATCAGATCTCTACTTTTAGTATGTTTATTAAGTTGATCATCTTGAAGAAAATGTGAAAAAATTTTTGTTTGTTCAAGTAGATAATTAATAATCGACTTTAAAAAAGCTGGATCAAGAACAGTATCTGGTAAATCATCAATATCAACAAGTTCATCTATATCTTTTTTTTTCTTTCTCTCTTTTAATTATTGCAGTTCGTTTTTTCGGTGTCACATTCTCTTCGTTTTTTTCATTCCTTATACCTATGTCTGTTATATCATTCATTTTCTTTTTATTTCAATTTGAAACTAACAGATAAACATAACGAACTTTTGTTTTTCCATTAACAAAAAATAACCACATCTGATCATCATTAGCTTTTTGTGTGTATAGATATGAAGAACAGGAAAAAAATACAACGATAGGAAAAGAAAAAAGAAACACTCAATTATGAATTTGAAAGACAATAAAAAAATGTATATAAATCGAACGACTAGATTTCGATTTCGAATATGTTCATGTTTTAACCAATTACATTTGTTTCAATTAGGATAGCTATAACCAAAAATGCAACATAATAGAGAACTAATGTTAAACCAAATCGACGACTGTAGAAGAATTTATTTAATGGAATAAATATGAGTGTTCCAGCGAGACTTCCGAAAAGAAAATATGCAATTACATTTTGTAATAAAGATTTATCAATCTAAAAATAAATTTTCTTATTAGAAAATTTTCTTTTATATTATAATATACATACAATAAATGGTGAACCAGTTTTAATTGTCATAAATGTAAATGGAATACCAAGACCCATAAGAAAATCTAAAATAAGAGAATTAAAATATTTTTGTTGTCGACTATAAGTCCATGAATATCATGGGAAATAATCATCGGTGGAGAGTCGAACTCAATTAATTTTGCGAAATTATAGAAGTTGCGAAAATATTTATCTAGCAACTGAGAGCTATAAGAAATTTCGCTTTCATAGATTCGAACATATTTAACTCTTCTCTTAGACAATTCGACTAATACATACTTAAAAGTGGACCACCATAACAAGCTGATATACCCATATTTGGATAACCTTGCCGAGCAGAAACAACATTTGAAACGTAATCTATTTAATATAGATAGTAAAGAAACAAAAAATAAAAATAAAAATTTATTTATCTTACCACTTAAACTATTTCCCCATGCAAGAAATGTTAAACCAAGAATTGTATTACTTATATCAAAGACAATACCAAATGTTGTTAATAAATTAACAATTTCATTTGCAATTGAATAAATCCAAACAACAGATACAGTAAAACCAAGAAAAGCAAAACCCTTCAAAAAAAAAAAATAACAAAAACATGTTATTAAATAAAGAAAGAACTAAAAAATTATCAATAGAACAAGTCATTTAAGTTATTCATTTATTACATTGACAAAACTTTTTTCAAATTAAACAATAAAAATGAATATTTCAAAAAAAAAGACTAACCTATAACTATCAAGATTATCAATAGTTTCGAAAATTATTCAATAAGATTTATTTTCAATTTTTACTTCACTGCCGTAAATGCTAATAACAGTTGTTAAAGATAAAAGTTATTACTAGTGTACCAGCTCTTACAATTGTGTTGGAATTTTCCAGAATGATAGAGCAAATGATTCTCTACAAAATAAATCGTCTTCTAGCTTTCTATGATGTCTATTGCCCGATATACGCAAGACACAAAAATGGTATTTTCATATGAAATATAGTAAAAATCACTTTTATGCACTCCGTAATATTTATGTATCTTGGCCAATAAACGTTGCAGAAAACTAGAAGATGGTTAATTTTGTAGAGAATTGCTTGCTTTATCATTCTGAATAATGTAAACCGAATTTTAAGAGCTTAGAAACTTGATTTTTGATTTTGCAGAGACTCACTTCTTGGAAAAATAATATGGAAAGTAAATCTGACCAAATAATTTTTGGAGCCATTGTAGATAAAATTTATCCTTATGTATTTGTCTTAGAGCAACATTCACAATGAAAAGAAAGTCCAGAACAAAAAGGATTGCTTGCTAATGATATAACACTATGAGAAAAATTTTACAAAAACTGAACTTGATCCTTCGAGAAATAACCACAGAAATTTAATTTTAATATGAAGAATCTATGAAAATGATGCATATATTTTTAGTTTTGAGTTAGGTAAGGAAATTTAATTTTATAAGAAAAGAAAAATATGTCAGATAAAATAAAGTTCCAGAAAATTGGATTTTTACTATGCCCTTGCTGTCATTTGTTCAGTTATATTTTAAAAATATAAAAAACTTTTTTTAACAGAATATCAAGTATTTCCTTGTCATACAAAAGCATATAGATTCGACCTTTTATATATTGATTTAATATTATAATTAAATATTCTTCGTCTTTTCATTACACATGAAATTCATAATTTTACTGCTCTTTTCCAAATACATCTGACAACTGAAAAAATGATGAATAACATGCTATCTGAATAGTTTCCTGATAAACAATAAGAATGAAAGCACATGTCACGAATAGAGAAAAATGGTTTTAATAAATATTTTATTACCGAATGATATCTTGGTTTTGTATGATAATCAGTTAATATTAACATTGCGAAACAAATTATTGTTCCAACGATACCAACCACAGCCCATACCGGAAAAAGATTTCTAATTTTCATAAGACCCACTATAAAAAAAAAAATGTATTCTTAAGATCACATATATCTTAATAAAACTTTATTAACCTCGTGTTAATAATGACACAGTCAATGGTCCCGAAAGAAGATGAAATGAATTTAAAAGTTTATTCCAATTATGTTCCTGTTTATCATAATCAACTAATGGAACAGTAAAATGAAGAATAAGTAGAACCGGCATCTATTAAGGAAAAAAATCAACTATCACATCAAACAAATCTATATAAATCAATATCTATCTTACTTTAATTATTGAAAAAAATTTATTTATTAAACCCCTTTCTGACCATGGTGTATCATCTCGTGGTAAAAACGCATGACGTAATGCTAATGCAAATGTAACATCTGGTTGTGCATAACTTTCATCAGGTATATCACTACTTGTATCATCAACAGATACAGCAGCTTGATTCTCTGGTGTTTGTATAGATCCGTAAGTTTTCGCTGCTGCTTCTGTATGTGCTGCTTGTAATAAAGCTCGACGATCTTTTATTCGTCGATTAATAAAATATCCACCAACTAATATGATTAAATATACAATGTACATTATTATAAAGCCTAAACTTTCGGCTAAATAAATCTTTCCATCATACATAGCCACATACGCAGCAAATGCAGCAATAATAAAAAATATAATATCACGTAATAGTGGTCGTTGTATTGAACGAAATGGTGTTACAAGACCTATTGTACCAGCCACAACACTTGTGACAAATACACCAGCACCTTAAGAATAAGAAATATAAATATTTCTAAAATTATTTAAGAGACGTTTGTTTTTCAAATATACCAAAAAGAGCACCAAATGCTAAACCAACATCACCTCCTTTGGAACTACCAACAGCAGCTATAGCAGAAAATATGTCTGGCGCACCATTACCAAATGCAAGAAATGTTACACCCTAAAAAACATATATATATATATTAGTAAGTCTGTCATATTAGAATTAAACTAACCGCTATATTTTCTGATAATCGAAGAACTCGAGCAATAACACGAAGAGCAGGACAAAAACTAAATAAAAATTGTTTGATTATAAGTTTTTTTTTTTCTTAATTAATTTATTTACTAAGAATCAGCAGTTACACCTAGACCAATAAAGAGAATTAATAACCAACCACCCTAAGATAACATACAATTATTATTTAAAATAATGAATATTTTTAATATTTACTAATAATGTTAAACCAAGAGCAACTAACTTGTCACCAATAGTACAAAATACAAATGTGAGATAATTTATAAAACCATCATCCATTT